TAGGACTGGCCATAGTCGAATCCATGTCAGACAGCAGTGCAAAAGAAGCTAAGGGACCGATGGTTTTATGTAGCCGTTGTAAAGCATGCGTCATCCTAACTGAGCTAAAGGTGAAACTACCTCAGGCTTTGACACCACGACTACCATCCAAAGTCGCGGCAACATCTTCAAAGAAACTCGGCGGAGGCCAACGCCAGAAGGTGTTCGATAGGCTTAGCCCTCAAACACGAACGGACGCCCCCCTTCAGCTAGACGGCGTCTTGATTTTGACGTGCCATTTTATAATGAGGATTATTACTCACGTAACTCCACAGCTCGAGTTCATCGGCGAATCAGAAAACCCTCAAGCCACCTAAACCACGCGACCAAGGTTGGTATAGTTACAATTCTATTACTTGCATGTATATTGCATTATCTAAATCTCAGAAACATCGATGCCAGTGGATAGACTGCATAGCTTGACGACAGGCAGCACAAGCCACTTCGGCTACCAAATCGCAGCCGAAAGAAGCAGCAGGAAGCGAAAATTATCAACAAACCCCAACAATCATGGCCGAATTACTTCAAGGGAAAAAGGTAATTGATTGTGAATTTTAAACCACCATTGAAGAATCCGAGAAGCGAATCAAACTCCTCATTCGGCCTAGGGAAATGAAAGCTCGTTTTGAGCATTTCAGACAAGAAGCCGAAAATAAGCTTCCCTTACTACCCCAGCAAGAGCCGTTGATAAGAGTCTGACGAAATTTACATTCTCCATTCCTCGGAGAATCCTTGGAGTACATGTGAGAGTTTCACAAGACACATTCTGCCAATGACTTGTATGGCCTACCCAAGGCATCGCAAGAAGCCCTCGACCTGGAACTCACTTGCCCTGATGTTGAACAGATTATTCAGAAAACTACTGACCGAGCAATGAAGGCCAGGTTCTAGCACATACGAGAAGCTCGGTTCTTCTGCTTCGAGGTTGACCCGTATACGGACATAGACACCGCCGAGCTCCCTTTATTTTTCAAAGACCTTCAGTACTTACGACATCATTTCGAAGTCTTCTCAGCCGTATCTCTTTTTGGCCTTACGGCCGATGAGAAGGATCGTGTGGCATGTTTGGATGCCTACCTAGACACAAGGAACGCTCGAATCACCTATGAAGAATGACCCTGTAAAGCACTGCAAGGAAAAAACCAAGCCCCAGCAATGATCGAGCTCGAAGATGATAGCCAGAATGAAACAGGTTTAGTTGACATACCACAAGAGCAAGTACCCGATAAGGTGAGAGATGACCAGGTCGAGGAAGCCCAAAAGCATGATACCGTACTCGATAACCCAGCGGACGACGACCAAGACTCGATGGGCCATTCAGTCATCGACAATATGGAAATCAGCATGGTCCATGTCCTATCGGCTGAATTTCAACCAACTACACCCCAACCAAATTCCTTGGATGGGGATGTGGTTGCCGATGAAGCAACACAAGTTGATTTCATCGCTACCGAAGGCCATAAGCAAGCGAGTGAAGCTGACAAACTTAAAGCAACTTTGGCCACACTGTTTCCCCGCTCTTTTTCGGTTAATCTTTAACATTTGAAGCCGTTGTACGTCACGGCTCATATTGAAGGTTATCCAATCTTTAAAATCTTCGTTGATTGTGGGGCTACGGTTAATATCATGCCAGTATCCATCATGAATGCACTACGACGGTCCAACAACGAACTCATCCCATCAGGAATAACTATTAGTAGCTTCGTCGGTGACAAGTCTCAGACCAAAGAAGTGCTTCCTTTGGAGGTGAGCGTGGCAGGTCGCAATCACATGACCGTATTCTTTTTTGTCGACTCTAAGATCGAGTACAATGCATTGCTTGGTCGAGATTGGATCCATCAAACAAACTGCATACCCTCTTCACTATATCAGGTTCTCATTTTTTGGGACAGTAAATCTGTTGTGGTGCATCTGACCAACAATCAACCTTTTGAAGCCAATATGATTCAAGCACGGTATTATGATGATCACGTTGGCTACATTACCCTACAAGGTTTGAACGAGGAAGGACGACCGACTCGAATTTCAGTATAGAAAGCAATCGAGATAGGCGTGGAGACTGATTGGCCGATTGATCACATATATTAATGTCTGACGACCGTGAGGACAGATGACAGGCCGTGGTTTCTTCTACCATGGAACAACTGCTGGCCCATTGGTATATTATCTCCAAACAACCAAATTCGAGTGTCAACTTAGTCGAAATTTTGGTCGAATGAGACAATGGCCCAGTATTTTCACTCGATAAAGTTCAGGTTGCACCAGTCGAGCTTGAGGATTGTCAACCTCAAGTCAAGGATCATTTAGAGGAAATCAATGTTGGAATGGCCGAAGACCCACGGCCTTTGTTCATTAGTGCATTATTACCTCAACATGTAAAAATCAAGCTTTGTAACTAGCTTAGAGAATTTCAGGATTTTTTTGCTTGGAGTTATACCATGAGATGCCTGGTTTAGATCGCACACTAGTCGAACATGAATTGCACATCAAACTTGGGTGTAAACCATTCCGCCAACCACCTCGACGATTCTCAACTGAAATACAACTCGACATAAAAGATGAACTCGTTCGACATTTAAAAGCTGGGTTTATTCAAATAGCTCGATATGTAGAATGGCTGGCAAACATCGTCCCCGTTTTAAAGAAAAGTGGTGCCCTGCACATCTGTATTGATTTTCGAAATTTAAACTTGGCAACTCCTAAAGATGAGTATCCTTTATGGATGGACAAGCTGGTTATAACCAGATTTTCATCGCCAAGGCTGATGTTCATAAAACTGCTTTTCGTTGCCCGGGAGCACTCGGCATATACGGATGGGTCGTCATGCCATTCAGCCTCAAGAATGCTGACGCCACATATCAACGAGCCATGAATACTATTTTCCATGATTTGATTGGTACCATTGTCGAAGTCTACATCAACGATGTTGTAATCAAATCAAAACATCAACGGACACATCTGGATGACCTTCGTCAGGCTTTCCTGCGTATGTGCCAACACAACCTTAAGATGAATCCTGCCAAATGTGCTTTCGGCGTATTAGCCGGTAATTTTTTAGGATTCCTTGTACATCATCGTGGTATTGAGGTAGACGAAAGAAAGGCTTGAGCAACCATCAACGCTCCACCCCTGATGACTAAGAAACAACTATAGTCATTGTTTGGCAAGATTAACTTTCTCCGTCGATTCATTGCCAATTCGGCAGGGAAAATGAAAGCATTCTCCACGCTCTTGAAACTTAATTATTTTGACACCTTCGAATGGCATGCAGAACATCAGGAGGCATTTACGCAAATCAAGGTCTCCCTCACAACTCCACGCGTCCTGGTTCCGCCACGATGTGGCAGACCTTTTAAGTTGTACATTTTGGCAGCTGAAGAATCCATCTGATGCCTTCTTGCACAAGACAATGATGCTAGGCAAGAACAAGCCATTTTTTATCTTAGCCAAAATCTCAACCCACCAGAAATTAATTATTCTGCTGTCGAGAAGCTTTGCCTCACTTTATTTTTCGCTGCATCAAAATTCAGACATTACATGCTCCCATCAGTCACTCAGGTCATCGCCCAGACCGATGTCATTCATTACATGCTCACTCGGTTGATAGTAAAAAGCCGAATCGACAAGTGGAAAATGGCACTGTTCGAATTTAGTTTGCAATATGTGCCTTAAAAAGCTTTCAAAGGCCAACCGTTGGCTGATTTCTTGCCCCAACATCCCTCGTGGTATAAGTTTGGGGCAATGACGTTGAAATCGGCATGGTGGAATCACGTCATAATTACTGGATGATGTAATTTGATGGATGTAGTACTTCAATCTCGGTTGGCATTGGGATCATTATTCAATCCCCAAATCACAGCCGCTGGTATTTTTCTCTCAAGCTCGATTTTGATTGGATGAATAATTAGGCTGAATACGAAGCCCTTGTCATCGATCTCGGTGTCTTACATGATTTGCGGGCCACTCAAGTCCTTATTCTCGATGATTCTAAACTTGTGATTAATCATCTTAATGAGACCTTTTGTTGCATGAGTTGTACTTTGGCACCCTATCACATGGTTGCTAGCTATTTGGTCGAATCTTTTGACGGTGTTACTTTCAAACACATTTCATGAGTTTTCAACACCGACACCGATGAATTAGCTCAAATAGCCTCCGGAGTACAACTTATGGGGGGCAAACTAGGTTGAGAAATACCTGTGTCATGACAAGCACACTCGGCCTTGGTTAATCAGCAAGTTATCCAACGTGATTACGTGATCCGTACACGAGTCATGTCTTTACCGTCGTTGGTAGAACGGAATGACCCTATAGAGGTTTGTGTTGTCGAGGCATTACCAGATGATTGGAGAAGGGTGATTATTGGATATCTCGATAACCCAGGTGAAAAACACGACCGACGTACAAGGGTCCATTCCACAAACTATGTATTATACCAAAATGAGTTATATCGAAAAGGTGAGGATGGGCTATTGTTGTTATGCCTCGGCCCACAAGAAGCTGCTCAAGCAATGGTAGAAGTACACGAAGGAATTTGTGGGGCTCATCAAGCTGGACGAAAGATGTGTTGGCTACTTCGATGACACGGTTATTTCTGGCCAAGCATTCTGAAAGATTGTATCGAGTACACAAAGGGATATGTGCAGTGTCAAATTCATGGGCCTATACAGAGGGTTTCGGCCGAATCACTTCATTTGGTCACTAAACCATGGCCGTTCAGAGGATGGGCCATGGATGGAATCGGTAAAATTGCACCATCTTCTAGGATAAAAAAACATGCGTAGATACTTGTTACGACGAATTACTTCACCAAATGGGTCGAAGCCAAGTCATATGCCGAGTTAACATCTAAAGAAGTTTGTAATTTTGTAGAAGAAAACATCGTCACTAGATTCGGCGTACTAGAAACAATCATAATAGATAATGGTACAATCTTTACATCTGGCAAGTTTTAGGAGTACATGGAAAATCTAAAAATTCGGCTCGAGCAGTCTACGCCGTATCACCCGCAGGCGAATAGACAGGTCAAAGCAAGTAATAAGGTTTTAATCGGTATTCTTGAGAAAATGGTAAAAGAAAGGCCTAGTATGTGGCATTTAAAGTTAAATGAAGCATTGTGGGCTTATCGAATTTCACTCCGATTGGCAACCGGAACGACTCCGTACGCGTTAACCTATGACCACGAAGCTATGTTACCAATTAAACAAAGTAGCTTGTTTAGTGCCGAGTACAGTCATGCTATGCGGCAAGAGTTAAAAGATTTGGAAAAAAAATGGTTTGATGCTTACAATTTATTGATGGCACAGAAAAAGATTACCGAGCTAACTTATAATCAGCGAGTCAGACAAAAAACATTCGAAGAGGGTGAGTTAGTTTGGCAAACTGTGTTGCCCGTGGGAATTAAAGACCGCAGGTTCGGCAAATGGTTGTCGAATTGGGAAGGACCGTTAATTGTTCACAAAGTTCTCGGCAAGGGGGCATACCACCTCAAGGATTGAATTGGTTTAATTCACAAGTTACCAATCAACGGGAAATTTTTTAAGAAATATTATCTAGTCACTTGGGAGATGTGAGAATAAAAGATCATTTCATTGATTTTGTAAAGAAACGTCCAAGTGAAGTTACAAAAGATTCCTAGACCAAAATCCTAAGGGGTCGAAGGACAGAAGGCTTCAAGAGCGGCCTTCAGTTCCAACCACCTTACATCACCCATGGTGACTTCGGCTTTTCTCACCCTTCGGGATTGGACAATGCAGTGCCTTTATGCATTCAATATCCCATGACAGCTCAAGGAAAGACCGAGGAATTCGAGTTGAAGTCCAGTTTGTTGCATCATATTCCCAAGTACCATGGGTTGTCCATGGAGGATCCAAACAAGCATTTAAAGGAATTTGAAGTGGTTTGTTCAAGCATGACCCCAGTTAACGTCGATGGAAGCATATTGAAGATGAAAGCTTTTCCATTCTCTCTATTGGAAAAAGCTAAGGATTGGTTATACGAATTAGCTTCTTGGGAGAGCATGAAAAGAGCATTCTTAGAGAAGTTCTTTCCAACATCAAGAATCATTCTTTTAAGGAAGTGGATTAGTGGCATTTAACAAAATCAAGGAGAATCCTTTCCAGCGTACTATGAACGTTTCAAGACTCTTGTTGCATCATGTCCCCAACATCAAATGAAAGAAGAATTTCTCATTCAATATTTCTACGAATGACTTCTTCCCATTGAATGACAAATGCTAGATGCCTCAGTAGGTGGTGTGTTGGTTGACAAAACATTGTTGCCAAGACTTTAATTGCCAACCGCGCCTTGAATGCACAACAATATGAAGGAGTTGGACAAAGGGAGCCCCCACGGCAACAACATGTGAATGAGGTAAGTGCAATTTCTGAAATTCAATCTCAATTGGCTAATCTCACTCTTCTTGTGTCATAGGTTGTTGACAAACCCAAAGTGCAAGAAAATACAATCTGTGGCGTGTGTTCCATGCAAGGACACCAATCTGAAAAGTGCCCTCAATTGATCGAGAATGGAGGATGGGAAAGGGCAAACGTTATTGGATTCCAACGCCAAAATCAGCCCAAATATGATCCATACGTAAACACGTACAATCCGGGCTGGAGAGATCATCCAAATATGAAGTGGAGGGAGCCTCATCAACCTCAACAAGAAGGATTTTGGCCACCACCCCTTGGGATGTTTCCAAGGTCATACGCAACAACACAACCCCAACCACAATTTGCCCAACAAAAATCAGGTTCGTCCATGGATAATGATCAAATTGTTCAATTATTAACCACTATGGTGTAAGGAATGCAAAATCAAGCCAAAAAGATGGATGAGTTGGATAAGCAAATAGGGCAAATGGAGGAATTCATGGGTCAATTCAGAGAGCAAGGTAGATTGCCTATTTCAACCGTTATCAACCCGAAGGGAGGATTTAAAACCGCCAAGGCAATCACGTTGAGAAGTGGAAGAGAAGTTGGAATTAACCCAAAACCATCCAAATCAAGCCAAAGGAGGATGAGAAACTGCAATTCGAGGAAGAAGAACAAGATAAAGCCACGACATAGATTAAACAACCTTTGTCGCAGCCCCCTAAACCTTCCAATTCGGCCAATTTAGGTAAGGTTGGTTCAAATTCGGTTAATTCTAACCCTATTCCACCCAATGTAACTTTCCCTCGCAGATTAATGCAAACACAGAAGGAAGAGAGTGATAAGGACATTCTTGAGACATTTAGGAAGGTATAAGTCAATATCCCGCTCATGGATACAATCAAACAAATTCCGAAGTATGCTAAGTTTTTTAAGAAGCTTTGTACAACAAGGAAACGGATTCGAGATAAAGAGGTGTTTCTCACTGTTTTTAAGTGATTTTTCATTGATTTTTGTGGGTTTTATCACCTATCCCCTCTAGAGTTGTTTCTCACTGTTTTTAAGTGATTTTAGTGTGTTTTGAAGTGTTTTAGTATGTTTTGAAAGAAAAATACGAAAATTTGAAAAAAAATTAGAAAAAGTTTTGAAAAACAAACCAAAAAGAGTCGTTTTTGTGTGTTTGTGTCTTAGGGTAGCTTTCAACACAATGATGAGGATTTGGTTTTTAATTACATGACTGTTAACGAAAGTTACAAACATGGGTGTAAGTTTGATATGCTCTTTGGTTAATACTTGGTTGTAGTTGATGTTTATGAATTCACATGTAATCACAAAGAAAAAAAATCAGTTTTTGTAACATGCTTGAAGAAAGGAACTCAAACTAACGCTACAACCCTGGGAGACTTGAGACTAAACGTTGTTTGGAGAGTTATTAATCTGAGATTTCTTGTTTTCTAAAGTCTTTGCATGATTTCATTGTTTTTTTTGCTTGGTTGCTACTTGGAATGCGTTTTCATCATTATAGTTCCAAATACTAGAACTCATGCCTGTTTCATTCAAAGCTTAAAATTGAGTGCATAATATATAACAAGATGAAGTTGTTTAGTAGTTACCACCAGAGCCAAAAAGCCTTCATTCCATGCATTTGTTTTTGCAGGTTTAACCCATTTGAGCCTTATTTAGCCTATTTTCTTTGTTAGCCATATTATCCCTACCTAGCCTAGAATAGGACTATCCATACCCTTGTTCTTGAAATATAGTGGAGCATGACTTAGAGGGAATTCCTTTTGAGCAACATTATTGCAAAAAAATATGTGTGGGGGAAGGTTATTTCCAAAGAAAGAAAAAAAGAAAAGAAAAAAAATCGTGAAAAAGAAAAAGAAAAAGAAAGAAAAAGAGTTCTAAATAAGTGAGAATGAGCTCACAAGTTTTCGTGGTTGAAAAAAGGGTCCAAAAGTTTGAATCTGGCCCTAAGTGTTTTGTGAATCTTCCCTTTGTGCTTAAAGTGGATTTTTGCATTCAAATGTGAATTCTAAGTGTCAATTTCATTACTTTGCTTACTATTGCTTTAAGAACCTTTGTTTATCCTTTCCCTTTCCTTGTTAGCCAATACCCTTAGCCCCATTACAATCCTTTGACTTCTATCTTGATGTTGTGTGTTCAATAATGTGGAGGTTGAGATTGGTATGAGTATATGGAATCCCTGGTTCTTGCTTCTAAGTAGTAGCATTCCGTTCATGAGATCATATATACATATATATATATATATATATACACACACACATGTATTAATAATTCCAAAAATTGCCTTCTTTGTTTAAAACATATGTGAGTACTAGTCTACATGTTTACATCAATCTTCTCACATATACCTAGTATAGGGAGTGCAGAAAATCTGTGTGAAAATAGAGAGTATATCCGGTGAGAAATTGAGGGAATTCTCTAAGGCATGTTACTACATTCAAAATGTTGTTTTAATTGATTAAATGCGAGCTAGTAAGTGGTGACTGCAATTAAGTATGCGCTCGAGGGTAAGGATGGCTAAAATCTATGTGAGTGGTGATCTTTGGCATGTCATGTTTCATTGGAAATCCCTGAGGCAGATGTTGGAAGGTCTAGGTTATGTTTGGTTTGTTTCGTTTTGCTCGAGGACTAGCAAAAGCTAAGTGTGGGGGAATTTGATAGGAGCATATTTATGCGACTTAGTTAGCTTGTTTTCTTGCATTTATGTTGTTAGATCATAATTATTTTAGTATTTTAAGCTATTTTCGTGTGTTTGTAGGTCCAAAGAGCTAAAGTGGCAAGAAAGTGTATTTTGGTGCCTTTTGGAGCATTTTTGGGTCAATAATGGATGGCACATGCATGGAGCAAGGTGGATGGATGAAATTGAAGACTAAAGAGGCTAGGAATGTGTTAAAGAGAAAGAAGAATTAATTTAAAGAAGATAAGGAGCTCAGCAAGAAAAGAGGAAACATTAGTCAAGTTACCTTATTTTGTTTCAGCACTTTCCTAATCCTAATCCAACTAAGTTTCAGTTGAAAGGAGGGTTCCCAAATATATTAGGACACTTAATATTAGGTTCTAGAAGACCTAATCCCAGCCACAAAAGGATGCCGCACCAATGCCCTATAGAAACCCTTTCACTTGCACAGCAAGGGATTCCCTTTTCCCTTTTTCCTTGCCGCATCCTACATTCCCTATTCTTCTTGGATTCTGACATTTATTTACCCTTTTTCCTTGAGGATTTGGTGTACAAATCTGTCTCCAAAATTAATTAGGGCTAAGATTCTCTTACCCTATTATTTATACTTTGTGCCGCACAAAAGGGACCCCATCCACTCTCTCCACCATTCAACCACATTCCATACACATTCTGCCGCAACCATCCCATCCTTCATCACCCATTCACCAAACACAATATACACCATTCAAACCTTCACCCAAACCTTGTGCCGTAGCAAAGAAGGAGGAAGACCCTTAGACGTGCTTGCTAGTCAAGTTGGATTACTGGAACATTCTTAGGTGTAATTGATAGGAGCATATTTATCCGACTTAGTTAGCTTGTTTTCTTGCATTTATGTTGTTAGTTCTTACTTATTATAGTGTTTTAAGCTATTTTCGTGTGTTTGTAGGTCTAATTATCAAAGTTGGCAAGAAAGTGCATTTTGAAGCATTTTAGAGCACTTTTGGGCATTAAATGGATAACATACGTGGGGAGCACTTTGGATGGACGTTTTTGAAGCTCAAAAGGCTAGGAATCTAATAAGGAGATGAAGAAATTAAATTCAAGACAAAAAAGATAAGGAATCAGCTCAAAAGAATGAACATTATCCAAAACCTTATCCAACCTTATCTTATCCAAACTAACCTTATCTTATCTTATCCTATTCTAATCTCATCATACCTTAAATCAAGCTGCAAGGGGACCTAAATATCTATTTCTAGAGCTATTTCTAGAAGCATTCCCTTCAAGAAGTCTTAATTTCTGCCACAAAGCACATTGTTTCTAGAAACCCTACAAAAATGGCGCATATTCCCTTCTAGAAAGCTGTTGTCTTGCCTTGCACTCAACTCCTTTTCCCTCCGATCTGTGCCACACCCTTCCTTACCCAATTCCCTTTGGA